AAAATGAGGAGCTGATATCAAGGGCTCAAGTAGAAAATGTTTTGAGAATGATGATGGCAACAAATGTACAAATGTGCTTAACACAGTGGATGTATGTATGCATTGTGATAGGAATTGTATGAGCCCCCGATAAAATGACTTAAAAAATAAAAGAATTTTTAAAAAGTAGAAATGGAGAGAATCCCACAACCATCAAGAAAGAAGAGCCACAAACGTGTTACTCTCAAGATCCCGTCACAGAGAAGTGGTGGTAGTCTAGACAGAACACTGCACACAGCAAAGCAGCATTCCTGGCTCACAGAGTGAGACCGAGAGCAAGTGTATGTGTGGCCAGTCAAAGAACCAAAGAGAGGCATGTGTGAGGGAATGGCTGAGACGTGCTGCAGACAAAGAATTGCATCCTTAATATTTCTGACCCTGAATTGTAACCTCTTAACTTCCGTAACAAGCCACCCTCACCATGAGTATTGTCTGTGCATTCTGTGTGGCCGCTGCAAGAGATTCTGGAACCCGACAGGGAAGTAGAGTGTTGTGAGAGGGATAGATGGTGTCAGAATGAAGACGGCTGGCAGATGGAAGCATAGGAGTTGTGGTAGTCACATAATTTCTTGTCAACTTGAAGATATAGAAAAGTGTAGGGGTGGAGTCTAGCCCGTCAATAAGGTCACAGCCTGATGGTGACTCCTTGTGGGCAATGCCTTCTCATAAGGAGGATCCTGGGAGCCTCCCCCTTTCTCTCTGCCTTCACCTTCCTGCTAGCTGAAACTGGTTGCTGCTAGAGCCCTACCATTGGATCCACATGATTTTGCACCCACCAGCCTGTGGTCTTCCTGCATTCTGCATCATTGCATGTGGTTGGGTGAGTCTGAAGAGGGACTTATGGACTAGTGCCAGACTTAGGGTCTTGAGTAGGACTGGGCTGCCATTTTCTTGATATATAATTTCTTGATAGAAGTCTCTTTCTTACACATGTATGAGTGTCAGCAGATTTGTTTCTCTGGTCAACCCAGCCTAACACAGGAGTCGTCCTTGAGCAGATGTGAAGGTGGAACCCCCTGCTGAAGCCAGAGGAGGATGAATGAGGTTTCATACACTATTCGTGTCACCAGACAGCAAGATAATTAATTCACTCTGCCTTTTGGACACTTTTGGCCATGTTGACCAGGCTCCTGTGCAACTCCTGAGACTAGCCAATGCCCTCGAGTACTGGATATGTATTTGACGTTCTTCGTGTTTTTCATTGTCATTCCAGTTCCACGTGACTTTTAAATGTTTTCCTGATTTCTCCTTTCCTTAGTGATGGCTCTTTCCTGGGAACAGTCCAACCCAGCCCAGAATTGGGAAATGCCTTCAGGTAAAAAGGGGGGTGGCTTGCTATTTGCACTTCCCCTCAGGGTTGTTCTTCTCCTTCTCGAAGGTTGTTAGTTTATCTTATCCTTGATACCTTATCTAGGACAGTTTATCTTATCATCTGTGAGAAGACCCATAGAACCTCCATGGTTCTATGATATACTTAGCAGTATAAATTTTGCTATTTAGCTTACTTTTGCTAGTTGCTGTATGTAGCAGGTGTAATACCCTTCCGTGGAATCAGAAATAAAAGTACCATTTGTCTCTTATAGGGCTTTTTGCCTTAAAATGTTCTTGTTCAGCAATAAAGAGACAACTGGAAGTTTTGTTTCTATTGATATTTAGTAATATAGCTTCTCATCATTCTTCATTAGACTATTTTATAGCTTTAAACTTATGATGTGTCTCTGATAAATAATATAAAATTGATTTGTATGAAGTATAATGATCTCTGTCTTTCAATTGAGGCATGAGTCTACATGTAATTACTGTAATTACAGATCAATTTGTCTTTAACTATATGACTGCCTGCCTGGTGATTTCTAATGTTCCTTCCTTCACGAATTATTTGTATTGATAATGTTTTCTTAATTTAATATGTTCATCTCTCTTCACTTAGGAGATACATATTTTCTCTAGTCTCTTATTTATACCATAGAGATCACCATATGCAAACTTTATATTTAATTTTCAATAGTTTGACTATATGTCTGAGCATAAATTTCTCTTACTTTACCTTTTATAAGGCTGCTGAACTCTGAATATATATGCTTATGTCTTCCACCAAATTTAGCAAGTGTTTGAACAGTATGATTCAAATGTTTTCTGTTCCATGTCTTTCGGCCCTCCTTCTGTATATCCAACAGCAAAGTTTATAACTTTGATATTATTATGCCATGCATTTCTGACACATTGTTTTTTCAATTTTTTTATTATTACTCAGATTAGTTAGTGCCTATAAATCTACCTTCAAATTCAATGGCTTGTTCCTCTATTATCTCCATTCTGCTATTAAATTTATTCAGTGATTTTTAAAATCTTGATTGGTTATTTTATTTTCAGTTCTATCTAAATTTTCCATTTTATTTTTCTTTATTTCTTCTATTTGTTTCCTGACACTTTGTCTCTTTCCATGTATTTCAAAAATGTGTGTTTGGAATGTGGGATTGGTGTTTCTGGAGGATACACACACACACACACACACACACACAAACATGTTTTGCCTTCCCATCAAATGCTTCTTGTGGAGAGAACAGGTGAGGCTATTTGACCAGGGTTGACTAGGATTTTACCATGCGGAAAATATACCTGTACAACGCAACTTCCCTTTCTTTTTCCCAGTCTCCCTGAGGAATATAGGAAAGCGAGACTTAGGATCTGCCAATAAGGAAGCCAACAAGTAACAAAGAAGGACACGCATGACCCAGGATGGAAAGCAATGCTGACTCTTTCTTCCCAAAACTATCCCTAAGGGAAGGTGATCTTGAAGGGGGAGTTAACAATTAGATTACACAGGTGATCTCAAGAGAGGAACCTCAGACAATGCAGATGGATTTGATGTTTCCAGATAGGCAACCAAAAAACAGATTGGCTTTTGAGCCTGCTTGACGCTGTGAATGGTTTCTGGCTAGAAAGCACCGGCGATTTCTGTTAGGTCACCCAGAAGACAAGACGAGGGCTTCTCTCAGCCTCGTTCATCGTCAGAGCTTAGGCTCCTTGACTCACAAGTTTTCTTTTTTTCTTTTTTTTTCTTTTTTCAGGAAGTAAGGAACTGCTAGACGGGTCGCTGAATTGACAGGAGTAGAAACAAAGGTTGTCAAAAGCAAGTTTCCTGAGAGCTGCGTGGCAGGACCAGAGAGCAGCATTCTGCTTTCCGCTTCCATCAGAGACCTCAGTTCTCCACCGGGCAGTCAAAGTTCCCCTTGGCAGTGGAATTCTTTCCTCTTAGAGTCCCCATCTGCTCAGCAGAAGAGAGGAGCATCTTTCCTAAAGGCGTCACAATCTTTTCGGGGATTATAGGGTTCCTTCCAGGTACTGAAGTCATCCTTCCGGTGGTAGTCTCCGCCTGGAGATTCACAGGGATCAAGGTTGTCCCTTCGGGGGTCACGGTCAGAGAATCCACAGGCGGCATGGTCAGCTCTTCAGACGTCTCAGCTGAAGAACCCACAGGGGATGTATCGGTCTCCCCAGACGTGACCATTGAAGAACCCACAGGGGATGTATTCGTCTCCCCAGACATGACTATTGAGTAACCCACAGGCGACGTGGCCATCTCTTCAGATGTCCCGCGCTTCTTTTCCAGAGTTACGTTATGCTCTCCAAGGGTCATAGTCTCCCTTCCAGGGGTCACAGTCTCCCCAGGCATCGTGTTTTCATAGTGCCTATGGCTCTCAGTGGCCACTCTCTCACCTCCTGCGGGGGAAAAAAAATCTGAAAATGAGCGCCATGCCTTGGTCACCACCTGCTTTCAAGCTCAGTTACTGAGGAACCCATACGAGATGAGAACCCAGGTTGTGATGAAGGGATTGAGTGGAAATCTAAGGAAAATCACCAGCAAAGGATGAGTTCTACCTCTTTCTTCTAATACTATGAATTATTGGCATGGCTAAAATTACCCAAAGGCTAAAGTTGCTGCTCCCAAGATCCAGAATGGGAGGATTTCAAAACACTTCCATTTGAGGGCAGAGATGAAATTCCACCACATAGAAGACCTGCTCCCCTACCCACCCCACCATGTTAGCATGGTCCTAGGCACTCGTGAACACACAATGGATTTGCTGCTTTGCCTCATGGGAGTCCTGCTAGTTCTCTGTGCTAGCCCCCCTTGAGCTCTTCTGCGTCAATAGCAAGCCCTGCTCCCAAGGTTTAATCGTTTGTTGAATCCCTGAGCAGAAACCTCTGGCACCCACATTGTAAGGGGCACCATGAACAAAACCAAGAAAGACGATGTAGTTCTAGAAAAAAAAAAAAAAAACTGTTTTGGAGAATTAGGGTTGAAACAATCTCTGCCGCTGACTAGCTGGGTAACCTAGACTTGATCTTTCTGGTTCCCAATCTCTCTACCCATCAAGTGAGGATCATAGAGTGCCGGAAGGGTATTTCAGCTCTAGCATGCCAAGTTCTGTCTCTGAACTGCCAGGAAACCAGCTGTGTCTAAAAGATACATAAAAAGAAGCCTCATTCATTTTTCTGGCTGTAGTCCCACGAAAGCAGGACAAAGAGACAGGCAACTAAACGGATACGTGGTAAGTGCTAACTAGGAGCCAGCACAGTCTTCGTTCCTGCAGATGGACTCTGGGCTTTCATCGTCCTCTACAGCCTTCTGCAAAATGGAGGGAGAACTCCCAATCCTTACATAAAGTGGAAGAGCCCTTTCCTCCTCTGGCCTGTTATGGATTGATGGCCAATGAGTCTAATTCAACGCATTAAAAACACACATACCCACAACGAGAAAAGGGGAAAACCCAACAGGCAGTCACTGCCATCCAGTCAATGCTGACTCACAGCACACCTGTAGGAGAGAGCGGAGCTAGCTGCCCCTTTGGATTTTCAAGGTGGTAAATCTTTTTAACTTTTTTCTTCACATTTCCGTACTTCTGTTTCAAGAACACATCACAGAGAAGTACAAGCAGGAAGAACTAAATCATTTACTCCCCTAGCAACACCGTGGAGAGCATCTCATTTCAAAACTCGTGTTCTAGCAAATTGCTGGCTAGAGATCTTCAGGGTAGCCTGTAGAAGGAGCCCTAGTGACAGAGCGGGTGACGAGGTGGGCTGCGAAGGGCAAGGCCAGCAGTCGGAACCAGCCAGTTCCTCCATGGAAGAGAGGGGTAAAGACAGCGAGCTTCAGAAGTCCTACATCGGGTCTCCGTGAGATGGGATCAACCTGAAGCAGTAGGTTTGGGTTTGCAGAAGTTGGAAGGGAAATGTTACATCTCTGAGCAGATTCGGATTTCCCATTTACGTAACGTACATCATAATGAGTGCAAAGCTGTCATCCAGGCAAGCAAATATAAAAACACTTGAAAAGAGCTGCTCCTTTGTGAAGAATTCTGGGGACTGAGTATCTCCTTCTGATAAAGGAAGCTGCTCTCCGGTGTCTGCAGTAGCCTTTCTAGGATCTTTCCCCATTGACCACAGGTAGTACTTCTCATACTCTGAAAGAAAGGATTCTTTATGCTGCTCGTCGGCTGCCCTCTGGACCAAGTTGTTCAAAGGTAATGTTTAATGAACTCCTACAGTGGAAGTGCAGCAACATGGATTTGGACTTCTTTCTTCCCTCCCGCTAGGCTGAGGGAGTCCACTGTCTAGTTGCTTGTACGGGGCCCCAAGTTGATTCCTTTCAACACCAGTGGTTTTCTCTGTGGACAGCGGCACTGTATAAACTGCTCTCAAGTCGGGGTTCAGGAAGGCGCTGCCTTTCCTCAAGGCCCCTCTTTTCTCAGGCTCCAAGATTGTAAATCTTTACAGGAGCAGAAAATCTTAGCTTTCTCCTGCACAGTTCTCTAGTGGTTTTGAACTGCTTACCCTGTGGTTAGCATGTTGCCCCCAAATGTGCTTTATAATTGCGAATCCCTATGTCTGTGGCTGGAAGGAATCCTGGTGGTGTAGTAGTTACGCACTAGGCTGCTAACCAAAAGGTCAGCAGTTCTAAGCCACCAGCCCCATCTAAAGGGGAAAGACAAGGCTTTCTACTCCTGTAAAGAGTTATGATCTCAGAAACCACAGTGGCAGTTCTAGCCTGACCTATAGAGTCCCTATGAGTCAAAATAAATGGGATGGCAGGGAGTTATCTCTGCAGTTAAGATGTCATTTAGGGATGGGTAGTCTTTGCTGCCTTAATGAGGCAGAGTAAAACAGGGTGTGTCTTGAGTCTCTCTCTTTTGAGATGTAAAAACAGAGATTAGGGGAGAGAGATTCCAAGCGACATGAAGAGCACCCACGAGCAGAAACACAAAGAAACACTATCTTTCCCCAGAATTGACAAAGAAATGAGGCTTCCTCTAGAGCCAGCACACTGAATTTGGACTTCTGGCCTCGTAAACTGTGAGAAAATAGCTCAGTTTGATAAAACCATCCATCGGTTTTAACATAGCAGCATCAGATCACTAAGACTGTCATCGGTATCTGTTGACCCAAGTTGCCTGTTACCTAACTTCCAATTCCAGGTTCTAGGTTGTAGCTACTCACCATCATTCAACAGGAGATTACTCAATATCCGGACAAGGGGGAAAGGGCCATTGCCACAGAAAGTGCCCTTGGCATCATCCAGGTCCAGCGTCCATACCATGGCCCCCCCAAAAAGCTCTGTCTTGATGAACATTGCCTATAAAATAAAGGATCAATCAACCTATTGTACGGACCCATCTCTAGACTGGGTACAATGGCCAATGACATAAGAGGGATTCTCAGAAGGCAACACAGCAGGGTGATTAGAAGCGTAGCCTGGATTTGAACTCAGCCTCCCTCACCACTAGCACCTTGATGAAGACCAAGCACCTTCAACAGCACTGAGGTCCTTCCACAGACTGCTACATGTGCCTCTCCTGTATTGTCTTACACTGCATCAACTGCCTCTGCTCCACCCACATTCTTCTTTGAACTCAACAGGAGCTTTCTGTATCCACACTTTTTCAAAGTCCTCATCCCCTCCTGCTCGTTTCCCTCAGAAATCATTCCCTGACTACATAGCCTCTGCATATTAGCAACATGCATTGAGTGCTGAGCACGGTTTGCCTGGTTGGCATTTACCTCTTTGAAATCATCTGATTCAAATGAAAGAAATGAGACTGTAACATATACCTGCATGAACTGAGAGAAGACACTTCTCTCAATATCTGGAGTCCTTACCTTCAAAGTAAAAGGGCTGGACTAGATGGAATTAAGAAGCCCGAAATCAAATTAAAATTTAAGGGTGTCTGAAAGTCATTTGACCTAATCAACCTCACCTATTTGCCCTCTGTCCAATAGCTACACACACACTACATACAAGAGGACACTGTATATTACATGGCATGCCAAAAAGAACAGGGGCTCACTTTGTAAGTGAAGCTGGCAGCATCATCATAGCCGACCCACGCCTTCCCCTTGGAGGCGTACGGGACAAACTGGTTGTCGATCCAGCTTTTCTTCGCTTGCCGGACAAAGGAGCAAATCTGCCCAAAGGACCACAAGGTTAGTTCCACAGATCACAATGCAATAGAGAGACGCGCCGGGGATACCCTTTTCCTTTTCCCAGGGATAAAGCTTGTTCAAGATCCCTCCCTGGGAAGTGAGAAGAAGGTAGACCAGTTCCAAACGTTATGTGTTCCTTTCTCCAATGTCCAGGATGGAAGGCGAGAGAGAACACAGGTGTGCGTGACGTCTTTAAGAAACGACACCAGGAATCTCTTTGGATTCTGGATGCACCGCATCCTTCATGCGCATGTGCTGCTCTGGCCTATTTATCAGGTGACTCAAATAGCTGCTAGCTTTGAGTGGAGCCCAGAAGAAAAGAAGGCTCTGCCTCAGGGTCAAGCTGCCACACAAGCCACTCTGCCACTTGGGCCATATGACTCAGCTGATCCAGTGATGCTTAAAGTGGCTGTAGCAGATAGAGCTGCAATTTGGAGTTCCTGGCAGGCTCCTATTGGTGACTCGCATGCAGACCCTTAGGATTTAGGAACAAAGCTCTCCCACCCTCTGCAGAAAATTACTCCCGTTTTGAAAAACAGCTTTTGTCTTGTTACTAGGCCTTAGTAGCGACTGAACATCTCACCGTGGACTACCACATCACCCTGTGGCCTGAGCTGTCCATTGTGAACTGGGAAGTGTCTGACCCACAGAGTCAGAAGGTTGCCTGTGCACCACAGCGGTCCATTACTAAGTGAAAGCGGTATACAGGAGACAGGGCTCAAGCAGGACCGGAAGGTCAAAGTAAGCAGCCTCAAGAAGTGCCCCTTACAATCTTTTAATATGACTGAACTATGGAAGTGTATGATGTGTAAATTATATTTCAATAAAACTAAGTTTTTAAAAGATTACTTAGAAAGGGAAACCACAGAAGAATAAATGTATATCTAGAATCTTCAAAAGAAGGAGAAGAAGAAATGCCCCAAATGTGTACAGCCTCCACTCCTATCATATTACTTCCTTCTCTCAGACTGTACTATAGCCTCTGAGGCGTTCCTTATGATAAGTTGATTGAGGAAAAGGAAACGCATACTCGGTTCACAGAGTGCTCTGCACAATACGCAGGCTCCATTGGAAAGCGGACAGCAGCAGCGTCTCATAACCTTTCTGGGGCCTCCCTGAAGGGCAGTCGTGAAGAGGAATCTTCCCAACGGGCAGAGCTTCAAGCAGTACATGTAGCTGTTCTTTTTGCTTAGAAGGAGAAGGGGCCAGGAGTGGAATGTATATAGAGTCAAGGGCTGTAGGCAATGGTTCGGCTGGATGGCCAAAGAGCTTGAAGGAGCATGATTGGGAAACTGGTGGGAAAGAGGTACGTGGATAGACCTCTCTGAAGGACTGAAGAAGTGGAGATATCTATGTATCATGTGAGTGCTCACCAAAGAGAGGAGGATCTTAGCAATCAAGTCAAGAGGATGACAGTTCCACTGGAATCAATCACCCTCTTTCCCCAGCCACTCCTGTCACTGCCCAGTCAGCCCATGCCCACAGTGGCTGTGGTGGCAGCAACAGAGGTTATGCATGGACTCAGCAACAATGACTTCCACTCACCAAAGCCACCGGGCAGCTGCCACTGCGGACTGCCCAATCTGCCAGCAACAGAGACCAATGCCGAGTCCAAGAAATTGGGCCCTGCTTCAAGGAGATCATCTAGCAACCTGCTGGTAGGTTGATGACATCGGACCAATTTCACTACGGAAAGGACTGTGTTTTGGTCTTAGTGGAATAGACATTTACACTAGATATGGATTTGTCTTCTCTGTATGCAATGTTTCTGACAAAACTATCATTCATGGGCTTATAGAATGCTTTATCCACTGGCCTGGCATACCGTACAGCATTCCCTCCCACCAGTGGACTCACTTCACAGCAAATGAAGTGTGGCAATGAGTCCAGGCTTGTGAAGTCCTCTGGTCTTATATTTCCTATCATTCTTGTCAGCTCACTTGATAGAACTATGGAATGGCCTTCTGAAAACACAATATGGTACCAGCTAGATGGCAAGACTTGGCAAGAGTGGGGCAATGTTCTCCAGGAGGCAGTATATTCTCTAAACCAGTACCCAGTATATGATACTGTTTCTTCAGTCACCAAGATTCACAGCTCTAGGAACCAAGGGGTGGCAAAGGGAGTGGCGCCGATCACTATTATTTCCAGTGACTCAATAACAGCATCTTTGCTTCCTTTGCCCATGACTCTATGCTCTTCCGATCTAGGGGCTTCATTCCAAAAGAAAGAATACTCCCGCCTGGAGACACAGCACTGATTCCACTGACCCGGCACTTAAGACTGTCTCCAGGCCACTTTGGGTGCTCATGTCTCTGGGTCAACAAGCAAAGAAGGAAATTACTCTACTGAGTGGTGTGGTTGACCTTGATTACCCAGAGGAAATTTGATGGATATTACATAATGGAAGTAAAGAAGAATATGCTTAACAGGGGGTTCCTTAGGCTGTCTTTAAGTGCTCGAAGCCCAGGTAGCACTGTCAGACAAGCATCTGCAGGAGAAAGCTGAGGCTATGGGCTCCCATAAAGATTTACAGCCTCGGAGGCCCAAAGGGATGGTGCTACACTGTCCTATAGGATCACTATGAATTAGAATCAACTAATGGGCAGTGAGTTTTGAAGGGGCTCTGGTGGTGTAGTGGCTCACTACAAGGGCTTCTCACTGCAAGGTCAGCAGTTCGAAACTACTCCACTGGAGAAAATCAAGGTATTCTGCAGGGAGCTTGATGGTGTAGTGGTTAGACATTGGGCTGTGATCCACATGGGTGGCAGTTTGAATCCACACGGGCTTTCTACTCTCATAAACAGTTACAGTCTTGGAAACCCACAGGGGGTCACTTTGAGTCAGCATTGACCAGTGGCAATGCGTTTTGTTTTGGGGTCTACTCCTGTAGTGTTATAGTCTCAGAAACCCACAGGGGCAGTACTACCTAATGCTGTGAGTCAGACATGACTTGATGGCAGGGAGTTTTGGGGGTTTTCTTTTTTAGTTTTAGTATTATCGTGTTCTGTGATTTAAGTCAATGGCAAACTACAGCAGCCCTATTGGCTCTGACCACTAATGACCCAGACAATGAAGGTTTGGGTTATGCTGCCAGACAAAGAAGCACAACCGGCTGAGGTGCTTGCTGAGGCCAAAGGGAATATGGAATAGGTGGTGAAAGAAGAAAGTTCTAAATGCCAGTTATGGGCCACACGACCAGTTGCAGAAACAAGGACTGTCATTTATATATTCCTTCCTTGTATGTATGCAGCAATTATTTTTCTTTGTCTGTTTATAAAATGTAAGATGTAAATTCAGTTGTTGTATCATATTAGGCACTAGTATCACTGAAATGTTTGAAGATTGTGTATGGCTAAAGGAGATGTGTCCAGGTACCAAGTTGGCAAGGTAGGCTGTGGTAGGTTTCATGTCAACTTTGCTGGGCCAGGAATGCCAGTGGTTTGGAAGTTGAGGTCTACTAATCCTCCATACTGGGACGTCACACAGCAGGGCTTAGTAGATAACACCTACATAGAGCTCCTAACCACAACATACCTGATCCTTGACTACATCTGGTTTGTTTGTTTGTTGTTTGTTTGTTTCAACGTGTTTTCATACACACGTTCTTTTCTGTTCATGAGATCTCAGCACAAACTGCCCATACATGTTCTTATCAACCTAGATTTTGAAGCTCGACAGGTCTTAAAGTTAGGGACCAACTAGATTTTCACTGCCAATCAAGCATTTGATTGATACCTATACCCAGCATTGTGCTAGAAACTATGACATATGCTTTCAACGAGTAAATGTGTTCTCGTTGTGCCAGAGAAGCATAAATCATTTATTCTGATGCTTTAAACGTTCTGCCTACCATGATCTCTCTGCCTCATAAGATCCTCCAAAAACACTATTTTACCTCTGCCGTCACTCATAACCATACTTCATTAGATGAGCAGCAAAAACATCACTATGCGCCCAGGATCGAACAGAAATTGGGAAGATGACGGGCACTTACACTACTGCAGCCTAAAGCCAGGGGGCCAACAAGGTCACGGAGAATGGTACAGAAAGATAATGTCATATTTCCAGGACCTTTTCAAAGGCCCCTCATCACTTGCTACCTGGCATCCCCTAAACACCCGGTCTTTTTTCATGCCTGCTGCCACTTCGGCCACTTCCCAGGCTATCATTTCTACCCATCAGAATTCTCTTGTGCTCAAAGCTCTAATCTAGCTGCCCCGTATACGTTTCCATATGTCTTCAGCCACGTGGAACACCCTTGCACTTCTCACTGTCCTCCAATCTGTTTTCATTTCCCAGCCTCCACTCAATAGCAAGCTTTTCTGAGATGGGGATTAAGGAGGTGGAATTAGAGTAGAGGAGGAAGACGCTATAGTAGAAGAGGGCTTGGAATTGTTTCAAACAACTTTTTAAAATTAGGCCATATAGTCAGTCTGAATTGACCAGTATAGCATTTTATAGCCTTTGAATGGCTGAAATACCTGAACACAAAGAATTCTCCAGAGACTATCCCAGAAAGCAGGTCTCTCTTGCCTGGGGAAGCCCTGTCTTTGCCCTGCTGTAGCCCTCGCCCTTGTGCTTGCCTCTATCCTTGTCCTCGCCCCACTTGGGAAAAGACCCACTTCCCATCACCTCAAAATAAGCCAAGAAGCCAGCTTGCTTGGTGTACTTCCCTGGAAGTCCTGGTCCCGTGGTCTTGGCCCCCAACCGAGCCTCAGAGTCTTTGAGGAGACAAAAGGTACGTCCGTAAGTGGGCAATCCCATGATGAGCTTCTCCGAGGGTGCTCCAAGCTTCCGCCAGTAATTTATGGCAAATGCCTGCATGTAGGAAAAATGCAAACCCTTCCTTGTTATTAGAAACCAATCGCCTGGGACCAGAAGCGGGTGCCAAGACCTGTTGAGATCTTTCCTTTTCTTACCGATGATTTAGGATCTCCAGACAAAGAGTACAGGGGGCTATTATGTCCTGTGACCCCTTCCCAGGACCCATGGAAGTCATAAGACAAGATGTTGATAAAATCCAAGTATCTGTAAGAGACAGGAGGAGGAGATTATTACATAGTTGTGTGTAGGAGCCCTGGTGGTGCAGTGGTTACACATTGGGCTGCTAACCACAAGGTCAGCAGTTCGAATCCACTAGCTGCTCCACAGGAGACAGATGAGGCTTTCTACTCCCATAAAGAGTCATGGTCTTGGAAATCCACAGGGGCAGTCCTACCCTACTATGGGGTTGCTGTGAATCACAATCCACTCAATAGCAGTGAGAACTAGCTATGCATTGGTCACCTAAGCTTCCCTCCCCTTTCTGCCTGTGGGGCCTGCCCAGCTGTGCCTACCCTTGAGATGCTGACACTAGAACCGACTCCTGGCTGAGGACCGCTGTGCGGCAGGATGCTACCCTGAAAGCATTCATGGTGTCCACAGCCCAGGCTGAAGTCGGAGAAGACTATTCGAATCAGGCCTGATGCAGGTGCTAACCGAGGTCTACATCCATGTGTGAGTTCAGAGTCACATAAGCATCATTCTACCTCAGTGAGTCAGGGAATGTGCCAAAAAATCCTCCCCAAACAAAATAATGTAATTACATCTCGAAGAATTATAGGAAATTAACAACATAGGGAGTGTGGAAACAGCCCTATCACAGAGTCCCATAGCAATGAAAGTGCCTCATTCTACCATTTCAGGAGCCATTAAAAGTCAACTCCTCTAGAACGCTTTCCTAGTTTTTAAGTTTTTCATGGGGCCTATCAAGTAGACTTTAACCCATAGCAACCCCGTGAGTCAGCGTAGAACTGCTCCATGAAGTTTGCTTGGCCATAATCTTTATACAGAAACAGGTTGTCAAGTCTTGCCTGTAGCTGCAGAGCGATGATGTGGGTTCAAACTGCAAATCTTTCATTACCTGTCAAGCTCTTAACCAGGGGCCACAGAGCTGCTAACCACAAAGTCAGCAGTTCAAACCCACCAGCTGCTCCACAGGAGGAAGATGAGTCTGTCTCCTCCTATAAAAATTGTAAGACTCAGACTCCCAAAGGGATAGTGACCCTGTCCTGCAGAGTGGCTATGAGTCAGAATGGGCCCGATGGCCGTGAGGTTTGTGTTTTGAGTATTGTGTAATTAGGCAGTTACCAGGTAACAGATATAAGACTTTAAACTGATTGTCTCATTCCCTCGTAACTTGATAAATATCCTCTGAATTAAGTAGTATAACTGTCTCTAAAGAGGAAATGGAAACAGACAGGTCAACTCATCTGCCTGAGGTTGTTCGGCGCAGTGAAAGCAGGGTGCCTCAACCCAGCCTGGCTTCAAGACCAGCATGAGTAAACTCTACTCTGCACAGAATCTCCCCCATTGAAACAGTTCCTCCAGGCCATGGGTGGGGAACATCCGGGAAATCACCAATACCAGCTAACATCACACGCGTCACCAAAGAGAAGCAATTCCAGCCATCACATAAGGGGTAAGTAAATTACATGTTTGACCAAATATAGCAGGCTAAGTTTTGAGTTGATACATTTGAATGACCCTCACATGATGTTATAAATATTCAAATGGCCTTCGGCAGAGAAGCATTTCCCTGATAGCTGCCCTTTCTATTGTTTGTTCTGCATCCTCAACAGTTTTCTCATGTGGAGCCTCTTGATTCCTGGGGCTCACATAACTCAGAGTCAGCATGCCCAGAACGATTTAGGAGCCATTCTGTCTAACTTCATTGTTGCCTAGAAACTCAACGCTCTGCAAAGTGGGTCTGCATAGGCATTCCAACTTTTGGTTTGTTGGACAGTAGAAATAAATCTGGAGGTATAGTGGTTATGCTTTGGGCTGCCATCCACATGGTCAGCGGTTCAAAGCCACGAGCAGCTCCGTGGGAGAAAGCCTGGGCTTTCTACTCCTGTGAACAGTTACAGTCTCAGAAACCTATGGGGTCACTGTGAGTTGGCAGTGAAAGCTGTCCAATCATCTATCCCTCCCGTCGCAGCCACCTGTTGCACAGACTCTCCATAGCTGCTGTCTGAGAAGACAGTGGCCAGCCCCATGGGATTCTGTCTTGTGAGACTCAGCAGTGGGCTCTACAGAGACCCTTCCCAGATGATGATGTTGGGACAGGGACAGCACTACATCACCACCCTCTGATCTTCTCCAGAAAGCCTCACGGTGTGATGGAAGTAGTCACTGTCCTCATTCATACGCACCCCTAGACACCCATCAACGGAACACCCATACCCAGGCAGGCATGTGGGCAGCTCTGGGGAGATGGCTCCTCCCCATCAGGGCCCGGGCCCATCATGCCAGCATCCACTCACCGTCCTAGAAAGCGGACGTCATAAGATCTGTGGATGATGTGCGGGGCCCCAGAGACCGCAGCCGAGAGCAGCAGCCTTGGGTGACAGTGGATGGTGGCCTCCCTTCTGAAGGCAAACAGGAGCTCCTAAAAGGAACAGGGGGACACTGAGAATCAGGCAAAACAGTGTCCGGGAAAGAGAGAGAGACGGTGTGGCTGACAGATTGCCATGTATCACGCTGAGTGCCTTGATCTGCTGGGATGTAAAGGGGAACCTGGCCCAGCCCTCACACCGACTCGTGAGAGGGAACAGACATGGCCCCACGTGGTGGGTCATGAGTAAACTCAGGAGTGGGCAGTGGCGGTTCGGTGGCGGAATTCTCACCTTCTATTAAGAGACCTGGGTCAGATTCCCCACCCACACATCTACATGCAGCCACCACCCATCTGTCCGTGGAGGCTTGTGTATCACCATGATGTTGAACGGGCTTCACCAGAGATCTCAGTCAATTACCAAAAGGCAGTCAATGAAAACCTGATGGATCACAATCGTCTGGTCCCAGCGTGTATGAGATCACCATGAGTCAGGGACCACCATCATGGCAGTCAACAGCAGCAGCAAGCTGTCTCAGAAACACAGGATTTAGCGTCACACTGCTGGTGGGAGTCCGAGCCTGCGCACAGGGGGAATTCCAGAGGATTGGACCATGACCCAGAATCAGACAGAGGAACGAGCCACCAGCGGACAGCCACCAATGGCTCTTTCGCCCGGCACCTCCAAGGTGATGGCCGTAAAGCGACGTCTGTTACTTCTCAACTGTCCCTGGCCCTGCTCATGTCTCCAGCCTGATGCTGAGCCTCCCCCGCCACCCCAGAAAAAGAAACTCGCTGCCATTGAGTCAGAGCAACTGTATAGGACAGGGGAGAGCTGCCCGGGTTTCTGAGTTTGGAACTCTTCACAGGAGTAGAGAGGCCATGAGCCCAGATAAGATAAAATCAGGACTTGAAATGGGTTCATTCCGATTCAAACCCCCGGGTGAGAATTTGCCTTTCCACCCAGATAAACTGACTCACAAGCTACATTTTACAAAGGTCCCCAGCTGAGTTGTGAACGTCCATATTATTCTGAGGCATACGCATGTCCAGATTGGGGCAGCCTCCAAACTGGCCTTACTTCAATCAAGAAGAGAAAGTTCCACCGGTCATGCAGGGGGCTGCCTCTTAGTCCAGGGTACAAGAAGAAAAGGTCGAGACCATCAAAGTTATAGGTCCTCAGGAGGGAGATAACTGACTCAATAAACTTCCCACGGCGGGTGGCTGTGGACAGCATAGTCGTGAACCTGCAGGAAGAGAAGGGGTGAGGCACGGACACCAGCCACAGGATCACAGCCTCCCACCAGGCGGCTCTATGGCCTCTGGAGGGCACAGAAGAGCCTGAAGGAAAGACCAGGGAATCCATAAACACTGAAAAGCTCTTAGAACTCTTATTCAGGCAGATGGAGGGAGGGAGGGACAGAGGAGGGGGCTTAAAGGGGGAGGTGGGGTTTCCAGCAGAGGTGCCGATGGCTAGATGGCCAGGAACGAGGACTGCAGGCAACAGGTAGAAGAAGAAAACCACGTCCTGCCCCTGACCAGGTGCGCAGGGAGCAGCAGGTGCGCAACAAAGAGCATCACCTGGGCTTGGGAGCCCCGGCTTACTCCAGCCCTGCCACCAAAGACTTGGTGGTGCCACTGGTGAGGCACTTGGCCTTTCCCTGCCTCTTCCTCAGGGATAACTACCCTATTCCTCAGCCCTGTCCTCACACTGACCTGTCCTCCCTCGACGGGACTCGGGGAGAAAACATGAACCAAGAGGCAGCACTTCCAGGAAGATCTCTGGCCTAATCCGGCCTGGGCCACAGATGACGAAGCCACAGGCCCAGGCTCTGACCAGGGACCCCACCCCTTTCCTCTCTGTTCATGTGCTTGTTTGGTGTCTCTGTTTGGGTTTACTTTCTCTTCCATTCTATGGAAAGAAAAGACATTCTAATTCACTGGAGTGGAACGTCAAGCACATCTGAGCTAGACTTGCATGGGGTGGTTAGAAAGGTCCCAGATTCAGAATTAGTTGAGTCTGGGCTCGTGGTGCCACCTCCCCCCGGATCATCGTGGGTGCCACCTGGCACATTCTTGCAGGCCTCCGACTTTTACTCTATTTTCCTACAAGTTGAGGGTACAAATAGCCACTTGGTGAGCTTCTTCTGAGATGCGCTGTGCAAGCACCCAGACCAGCATCTAGCAAATGTTCAGTGTCGAGAGGGGGGGGAAGCCCGGGCCTGAGGGAAGCCAGTCATCATCTGCTGTTGCCGTGGGGTGCCGCGTCCTGCCGACTCACAGCGACCCCCCAGGACAGAGCAGGACTGCCCCATAGGGATCCGTAGGCTGTAATCTTACAGGAGCTGATTGTCAGGTCTTGTCTTCTGCTAAGCAGCTAGTGAGATCGAACCACTGACCTTTTGATTAGCATCCAAGCAGTTAACCAGGGCTCTTTAGTTATCACCAGTACTCTCCAAATCATTCCTACACACACACACACACACCCCATGTTATCACTAGTACTCTCCAAATCATTCCTACACACACACACCATGTTATCACTAGTACTCTCCAAATCATTCCTAAACACACACACACACCATGTTATCACTAGTACTCTCCAAATCATTCC